TGACATGATTTGGTGCTGCCATATATTTGTAGGGTTTCTTTTTTTTTCATTAGAGCTTGTTTTGCTATAGGGCTGCTTAACACTGTTCTCAAACGGCTTTTGCAAGGTTAAAGGAATGCAGCTTGGTAACAAGTTTGTGTCATTTTAAATATATACCTCCCAGTAAATAAGGAGGAGCCTTGCAATCAATCCCTTTTAGTGTGTTATATGTTTCACCTGACAACTAAGCCCGCTATTGATTAACCATTACTTTGTTAGATAATCTCGTGTCATTGAAGCCACTGTAAAAATTAAACTCTTTAAAATGTTTTACCCTAGCAGCAGTGCGAAAATTGAAAACTTGTTCAGAATTACAGCCAGCTTCCACAAAGAGGGTAGTTTTCAACAAACTGGTTTATGTTTGCATGCTTTATATGCAATATAAAAACATATTAAAGCACTCCAACGCAAAGCTATCTGCCTGTGGCGTTGAACCAGGCTACCATTTCAGACTGCTTTTCCTTGATGAAGAAACCTCTTATCTTGATGAAAGGTGAGGAGAAACTTGAACAGTTTTGGTGCAAATTAAATAAGAATCGTAAAAGGGTTGAGCTTTAAAGGTGAGCTAGACAAATTTGCTTTTCTGAGTCTTGGTTCTGGTTTTGATTTTCTTGGTTTTCTTCCAGATTATTCAATGGCACCAGTTATTAGTTATTCAGTTATTCTTCCAGTTATTCTCATAGGCACCAGAATGAACGAAAGGAGGTACTCTGATGTTGCGATGTGGCGTGAGACACCATCAAATGTTTTACCTAAAATGTAGGGATCTGCATTACTACTCGATGATAGGACTTTAATTCTACTTTCAGTCAGGTCTATTCACTAGTAACTCTTAGTGAGAGTATAACAATACAGTAACTAGTAACTCTTAGTGAGAGTAAACATAACAATGCCAGATGAAACCAAATCTCCATGTCCAGCAGTAATCTTGTGTCTCACAATAGCCAGTAAACTACTACCTACAGAAGAATGTTAGAAGAGGGCAGTCTACCTTCACAATATGTTCTTCCAGCTTCTTATAACTTGACTTCATGAGCCAGATGCAGTTTCTTTGCAACATTATCGATATGTTTCCATTAAGACTTACTAAGTAGGGTGACATTAACCCTTTTTTTCTCCTGGACTTTAAGGGAGAACTAGGCTTTCATCTGTGTTTTTGCTCAAGATCTTTTTAAACGTATCGTAGAACATGCACATGAATCTTCTTTCCTCTTTTTATTCATCCCACAAGGCTAATAATGCATTCTTCTGTGAGAATGTGAAAATTAGAACAGAAGAACTTTGTAACTTTACAAGCATAGTGATGGTTGTTGAACTAAACATCACTATATGTTTTATTCTCGAATCTGCATCCTGATGGGTTGAATACACTATGCTTACTCCTTTGAATTTTCTTTTTTTTTTTTTCCCCACTACTTTTGTTGAGAAACAGAGCTGTTGAAAGACTAAATGGTTGTCAGGTAATTTGGCACTTACATAGATCTTTACGTCATAAAATTACTGTGTAAAAGTTGATTCTTGCAGTAAAAGTGTGTTCTTTTCTCCTTTCTGTGGCTGAAAAGATTGGGAAGGAGGGATTGAAGTATCATCGGCATGTTGTGAAAGGGCAGAGAGGTATTGAGAGTATGGGAATGCCCAGATCAGTCAGACCCACCACCCGCTCATCCAGTGGTGACTCCAGCACTGTCACTGGAAGATGCTGTTGAATGACAGCAAACAGGTCTGTGCTCCATTCCCCTCCTGCTCCTGCAGCATCTCCTGCTGTTGCACTAGGGATGTCCAGAGGATATCTCTGCCAAGTACTCCATGGACCTGCTGTCCATGGGTTTGTTTAATCCCTTTTTCCACTTGCTGATGTTGTTTCTCTCCACGGTGTCCTGGGGTGGCAAGCTCCAGAAGTTCACTGCCTGCTGTGTGAAGAAGTGTTTAATTTTCTCTGCTTTAAATTTATACTATGCTAGTTCCATCAAGTGTTACTAGTCGGTATTGAGGGATTTTATGAACAAGTTATGCTGCAAATTTAGTTGGTGCTGTTCACACTAAGATATACTGTGTGGATGAAAATAATAAAATTAAGCGATACTCTGGAGTAATTATTTGTACCTACATTCTGATGTACACACAACTTTTGAATAGTGCTGTAGTGAGCTTCCTTCCTTCTCAGAAAGTTCTAGGGTTTTTAGATTTAGCATTTAGTATTTCACAGGCATTGGATTGCCTGCTCTTTTCCATTTGTAAATGTGAGAGAAAACCTGTTGTAAGGCTGGCTTTTAAGAAGCTGGCTTGCCACCAAGGTTTGTGCATACCTGTCTTGGGAGGAAAAAGACTGACAAGATCCGACTTCGGTTCATGGAGCCACAGGCTTCCCTGTCGCTTTCAGTAAATGTTTTTGTGGCTGAGCTTTTCATCTGCAAAGTGGAGTGAGTAGCTTTCTTTGAGTCAGGGCTCCTCATGAAATTTACAGGATGTAGCAGATAAGTTGTGCAGAAATACTGCTACTGGAATTTTAGAAATTAAATTGCAAATGGAAGAAATCACAGATTTATGACAAATGAGTTAAATTACACAAATGTAAACAATGAACAAAGGCTCTTACAAACTCTTCATGGTTTTTCACCTTTGGAATCTGGTTGAACTTGACTGACATGATGCTTATAAAATGAGGTTTGCATGGTATTGTTTGAACATCAGTGCAAAGCAGATGCTGTCAACTTTCTGTCCACCAGTTGAGCCACTGCATCTAAGCCACAATTTATAATGGTGTATGGCGTTCTGATCTTTCTTCTGAGGAGAAAGTGCTGTGCATACCAGAGTGATGGTTTGATAATGTTGGCAAATATTTGCAAGAGGTTAAGCTGAGTCCATCAGATGTCTGTTTGCTTGTGACCTAATCCCAGTTTGAATCTGAACCTCCCCTGCTGAAAGATGTGCTCTGTTCATCTGCACGGCACTTTGAAAGGATTCCTGTGTTTGAATTTTTCAGTTTCTCCTTCTGGATCCAGAGTCAGAAATTGCTAGCTGGCTGCTGGTCGCAGCAGATATCGATACTATAACTTGTAAGATCTGCTGGAGCCTGGATATTCAGCATTCCTGTCTGTCACTGTTGGTTTTCTGATTAGAGAGCTCTCTGAGAAGTATGACATGAACTGCTAAAGCGATGGAGAAGACAGGGCTTCTGTGCTCCTTTTTCTTTCTGTTCCATGGTGAACTTTAAAGCAGCTCTGTGAAGGAGTAAGGTGGAAAGGACTGTTATTTCCTGAATTTCCCCAGGAGTGTCGGTACTGTGCTGGACCAGTATAGATCCACCTGAGCCAGTATAGTGATTTCCCATGGTGGGCAGTAAGGAGCGTTTAATACGGATCATAAGAACTTAGGTGAATAATGTTATAAACTGATTGTGAGCACTCAGTTCCCATCAGTTGGTGCTTACTGTCCTCCTGAGCTGGAGACTTAGGAGCCCCGGGTTTGTGGATGTATCTCCTGTCGCTCAGCATAACTCGCTTTTAATCTCTTTGTGTTCTTGTCTCTGACATCCTTTGCAATATGTTCCTCTGCTGGTTTGTGTGTTGCTACTGACTACAGCTGTGCAGAGTCAGGCCTGTGGCAGAGGGGCAAAAGGGGAGATCATTTGTTGGTGCTTGGCCCTGAGAGAGCCTGGCTCTGCTGATGTAGCTTTGGAGCAGAGGGAGAGGTTTGGAGCCCTTGGCATCCCAGTGTTGCCCGCGAGTTTTGTAACCTATGGCAGGTTTGGGGTTGAATTGGTTTCACGTCAAACAAACAGAAATCCGTAGCAAGCCCTGAAAGAAAGATCTTCAGAGATTGCCTGTGAATATTACGGGGAGAGAACTGACAGGCAGTTCACTACAAATCTTTGTGCATCCTCCCCTTAAGGCAATCTTAAAAATATCATGAATGTTAGTATGTTTTACTTAGTGGCCTTGGAAATGTCTTTGTAGCAAGTTTAATTTCATTTTCTTTCAACGTGCTTCTTGGGTTTTCCCCACACAACTATTTGAGGTAGCAGCATCTTCTCTGTGGTCCACTTACTGCTCTTGCAACAAAGCAAGTTTGTGCTTGCTTTTGGGCTGCCACTTTTGCTTGGGAGCTGTTTTCTGTAAATGGCGACAGGCGCGGGGGTGTTAATCGAATACTGGAGCTCTTAGGTGCTACTATACTCCTCCTACTGCTAGAAAATGTGAGCTTAATCAAGTAGTAATTAAAAAAGTGTTGAAAGTACAGGGAGGGAGGAGCCTCCATTAGAAAATTCTGAGTTCTTCAGGCGTCTTAGTTTATATAGCCAAATCAGCCAAAGTATAATTTTAAGCATACTTCATAAGTACTGTTCATATACTGCCCTTAAAATGGGAGGGAATATGAGTAATGTGTTCTGCAAATACTCCAAAGTCTGCAGCTCCAGCTGAGGGTCCCCTGGGCAGGCCAGTGTATGAGTTAAAGAAAAAAGACATATTTTAAAAGAAAAAGCTTTCCAAAATTGAGAAGATTGAATATAAGTGAGATGTGGTCTGCATTTGCTCCCTTCTGATTATAATCTTCGTACTGTCCCCATGTGTTTATACCTGATAAAACAGGGGATGTTTATTTGACTTATGCTGTGATAACTAGTGTGTAGGAATCACCTTGCTGTAGCTGTTCAATTATGCAGCATTTTGTGAAAGACCAAACAACTAACATCAGATATTTTTTTTAATTTTTCAAAAGAAAATAGGAGAAAAATCTTTTTTTTCCTTTATATCTCAGAACTATAAAATCATATATATCTTCTCAGACGACATGCATGCCCTGAACATAGGCTTTCGCTTTAAACTAGTTTATTTTGGTTTGAAACGTTTACACCTTAGGAAAAAGGAAATGTAGAGTTGTTGTGGGTTCCTGTGCCAAAAATGTGGTGCCTGAAAGAAAATTGTGTTCTTCTATTCATAACCATTTTAATCTTTCTGCAGACCTACAACAGCTGTGCCAGACTGTGCTTAAACCAGGAAACAGTATGTCTAGGAAGCACTGCTATGAAGACTGAAAATTGTGTGGCCAAAGTAAGTAAGAGGATGACTTTAGTTTTGAGGGTTTTTTTTTAGCGGATTGTTCATTTTTAATCAAAGAGAAGTTCTTGTTAAAAATTAGAGTTAGAAAAAAATGTTTAAACAGAAAGCAAGGGTTTTGGGTAGACTTTTCTGTCCTTCAGCATAGAAATTTCAGATTTGCTGTTTTCTTCTGTTCAAAATAATTACTTGAGTCCTGCTATCTAAGATTGAAGGGTTCATTCTGCTATACAAGTAATAGGCTTTTCCAGTGGGATGACCTATGCCTGCCATGTAATTAGCTGTGGCAACTTCAAATGATGAATGTCCAGATACATGCTAAAAATACTGCATGAGAGCTCTTTGTATCATGGTTCCCTTTCTTAGCTACCGGAGGCGAGGTGCAAAAAGAAAGACCTTTCAATTAAAATACAGTGAATGCTGTATTTAAGGGAAAGGGAGGAGGGGAGGAGGAAGATATGGCAGTCAGAATGGTAAGAAAATGGATGTATTAGCCCATCAGAGAAAAGTCGTTCCTTGAAAATTGTAGTAGATGTGATTGGAAAAGATGAGATGCCAGTAGCCACCCTCTTTTCTTAAAATCCAGCATAACTAGAGTAAAACAACACACATGTAGGACAGTTTGTGAATGGAAAACACTTGAACGGTGATGCAATATGTACAGAAAGGCTGCACGAAGGATGCGTTTAGCCTTGTGCAAGCTTCGTATTTCCACTGAAAGGAAGTTTGGAATGGGCACGCAGGACAGATCAGTGCGCGCGGCCATCTGTTACCAAAACCAGCTGGCATTTTGTTGCTCCTCTGTCACCACAAACGTGACCACTCAAAAGCCTGTTTTCTCTTTCAGTTATTTATTCCTTGGTCTTCTTGAAGTCCTTTTTTTTCATACTTTGAGTGGTTGTTAAAGGTGCCTTGTCCCTTCGGGGCCCACTTTTGTATTGACCTTTAAGATAATTTCCCAGCTAAATCTTTGCTGGTGGAATTTGGATGTCCCATTACTTTTGATTCTTGTCAGGGAATTGGCCATCATAAAAGTTTGTCATGGTGCTTGCAGGTGGCTTAGCACTCGTAAACTATGCTTGATATGCCAGGTTACCTTCCACTGGAGAAGCACTTCTGAGAGAACCTACAGATCTTGGTACAAAGTGCTAATATTTAATACCAATACTGCCATTCTTAAGATAACTGGTATTGCACACTGCTTCCTAAGGCACTTTATGATACAAAGTAGGTGAAACTCTTTAAACAAGGCACCAGAGCAGCTCTGTGACTGAATCATATTTTTGTACAGTATCATTCTGCTGCTGTGAAGCAGCTCACAGGAAGCTGACTAGAGTAAACCCATTCAGCCCCATGTGCTTTTGTAGCATCCCGTTTGACCTGATCATCTTACTAAGGAGCAAGGATGGGCAAGCACTACAGCTAATTTAAGCGATGCCTCTTTTAAATGAAATGACATACCTTTAACATCCTAATGCCCTAAATAATAAACTTTCCTAAAATTACATTTTCGGTGGCATCATGGTAGGAGGTGTGGGTAGGGCTCAAGACAGGTACAGCAAGATTTGTTTCATGTTTCCGAGGATGAATTTGAACCAGCATCATGGCGATGAAAAAGCATATGTTTTCAAGTGTTGTGTCTCTATATGCTGTAGGACAATCTGCCATCATATATGTATGTATGAAACACATATATATACATGTATGCATGCATGTACATACACACACATACATCTATGCCTTTCCAGCTACAAACCAAAATGAATTAGGTTCTAAGAAAGCTAGATTTCAAATTCCAGAAGCATCGAAGCATTTATAAATCCAGTTAGCTAAATGCAGATGGCTCAGTGATGGCATAGGCAAATGGCACAACTGTTAAATGTTCCCTAGGTGAAGGGCTTAAATGGGATTTAAGGAGTTCAGAGGCCTTCTCCTAGCTTTGTGCGCATGGCGAATTTTATCCTCCACGATTGATGTGTCTTACAGCCTTGGACTTTAAAATGTTTTGTCAAGAGGCTGACTACTGGAAATTTTAACTATGGGTTTCTTTAATAGCAGCGCTTTTTGTAAAGGGATTTAATTTTTTTTTTTTTTTTAAATGGCATTGAAAGACAAAAAAGATTACTCTGGAAATTGTGATTTACCTTTTCTGATTTTGCTGTGCAGTATCAGCCCTGACTGGGAGCCACAGTCAGCATTATCACGTGCTTGTCAAATGTGTCAGTCTGCAAGGGACAATGTTTTTTCTGAAAATAAAATTTCCAATTCTTCACCTACTTGCAAAAAAGAAAATTGTGCTCTGTTAAGACTGTATTAATGCCATTTGCTGATCATGTGCTTGATGTTTCTAAAGTTTGTTCAAAGAATGACGTGCAGTTTCTCCTGAGGCCACACACACCAATATTGAGATACCTTTTTTCAGACTGAAGTGCTGTCCATCCATCAAGCTCTCTTGTGAAGGAATGCTTCTGAATAGGACTGTCAGGTGTAACTTACCAACCTAACAACCAGAATTCTTTTTAAAATGGAAGGAAAAGAAGTTTTTAACACACATATATGCATTTTCAAGTACGGAGAGTAGCATAGGGCTACTGTCTTTTTGACCACTCAAGGAAGTCTGTGTTTGTTAGGAAACCTTGTCTGCCTGGCCTTCTATACAATGTTATGCTGACTGTGGAGCCAGGTGCTCAGTGACTTTTGCAAACCTATGGATTATCTAGTTTTATTCAGGCATTTAAAAATAAAGCTGGAATATCGCATTCAGATGAATCTCTGTATTTTGTTCTTAGCCGTACTTTTCTGGTATTTGTCCTCTGAAACTCCATTGATGGGACTTGAGCATGTCTGGGTAGAAGCAAATAAGGAGCAGAGAAGTTGTTTCAAGTGTGCTTATGTTTTGACTGAAAAGGTGGATCTTGAATTAAAGATTATATATTGTGGTGCACAGATGTCACCTGTGTGATCTGCAACATTGTTTCTCTTCTATCCTCAGGAGTTTTTCCGTTAATTTTTTGGCATCTTTTTGTGCATTGCGTTTCAGTGATCAACAGGTCTGATGTATATTTAACCTAATGTCTTTAAAAAGGAAATGAAATATCTGTGGTTTTATATATGTATACACACGCACACATATGTGTATATATATAAAATCCTTCTGTTTGTCTCTTTAGATACCAAAAAATGTCTGAGAGAGGATTTATTTTTTTTTTATGATACTACTGGTGTGCAACCACAGTTGTACAGCTTTCTCAGGAATTGATGCTAGGTGCTTAAATAAGGTAGAAATGTAGCATGAACCTGAGCTCCAAGGACAGGGTGTTTGGTTTTAATGAGGCTTATTGAAATCTGGCCAAATGAGCATCTGTTCCTATTGTTTGTTCCATATTTTGTAAGCCAGTATCTTCAGGCCAGATAATGGTGTTGGTGTGTGCTTCATCCTCAATTAGAGAGGGGTACAGTTGAAAATCCCCTGGCATCTGGTATGTCACTAGGATTCTTGTGATGCTCCTGGGTGTGCAAACAAGTCTCTTTTCTGCTCTGTGTCTGGGACCATTTACTTTCTGTGATGACCTTCACACTTTCTGTTTGCTGTGCATTGGGGGATGCTCTGATGTGTCTCCAGTCTCCTTGGTGGAGCCTTTGCTTGGATGGATTGTATAAATCCCTATTTTCAAACAGAGGTCTTGCCTGTTCACCCTTTCATAATGTGGACTGTATTAGGTTTGAGTTTTGCTATTCTCTTGAAGTTCATTAGATTTCGCACTTCCCTGAATCATGGAGATATGTTTCTGATTCAAAGTGCCCTTTTCCTTCCCAGCAAGAGTCTGGTGTGCAGCTGATCTCACAGAGTTCTATAGTCAGTACCCATTTCCTTTCCTCATTAGATAGGTCTTTACTGTTTATTAACTCCTGCAGTCAGTTCCAGTTCGTCTGTATCAGCTATATAAAGAAGTGTTCTCAGTTTCATTTTGCACATTGAGTTCTTTACTTCATGTGCCAGAGATAGGCACCCTATGGCATACCTGCCAGAGACAGCACAAGGACACTTTCTAAATGGCATAGAGCATCCCCAGGTTTCTACTTAGTTCTGAACTCAGCAGCAGCTGGGAGAGCTTCTCTGCATCTGTTAAGCATGTTTTTAAGGTTCCAGCAGACCAAGGGACTTCTCAGGGTCTTTTAAGCATGTTGTGTCTTCTAGGGAATCTTTGATTGCTGTTCATCATACTTCTAAACGTGCATGCTGCAGTGGTTACAGTGTTGAATTAGGAATCTAGAAAGGGTTCATACCCTTTATTTTTAGCATTGTGATTTTATTCTCTGTGGCCATGATGGCTTTTCTTGGCCTTTTTCAAAAAGGGATCTGAATAATACTCTCCTCACAGAAATATTGTGAAATTTAACTATATGACGCTTTTTTGGCCCTTGGATGAAAAGTCCTGCTTAAGCATTTAGTGATGTTCTGCCTGCTCAGCAAGCTGTTTGTCGTGTCTAGGGGATAGAGCTATGCTCTGCTCAGTTCTGGAAACACAGAACAGGGCTTGGCACTTCAAGTATGCTAGGTGAAATTTTCTTTCAAAGATGCAAGGTATTATTTAGCTATAGCTACACATTTTACATTCAAGGATGATTCAGCTAAAGCAAGGGGTAATGGAAGTAGCTGGTAATTGAAATCTACTTTCCTTTGTCAGTTTTCTGCATCGCTACTTCCTATTTTTTAAAATAAGAATAGTCTGTGCAATAATAACATTGAGCTCACAATTTTTGTGTGAATTCAAAGGAGAAACCACAAGTATTCCTTAATAAATAAACGTTTAGGGTTCCAGGCTGGATGTTCCAGTTGGCATTAGGACAAATGGATCTGAAGAGTGTCCCTCTTGTGCTCTGAAGTCCCTTTATGTCACAGATTGATGGCTTCTCTTTCCTGAGAGTGTCCCTGCATTTACTTTGCGTGAACAACACAACCAACTCAGAGTTCTGCTGTGATATACCACTGA